AGAAGCAGGTTGTGAGCACATTCCTTGGCCATAGGCAGTGGTTGAAAGAGAGAAATGGTGGCTGAGCTCTTAAGCCTGGGCCTTACAGTAAAGACCACACAAAGGAGGTCTCTCTGCCAACCTGCAGTGGACAGGGAGTAAGAGCAAGAAGTAAGCTTTGCTGAATATAGCAGGTCATGTGTTACCACAGCATAACCTAGCCCATCCTGACTGATAGTCACCATGGTTTTCCCTTCAAACTCTAGTAAAAAAAATATTATTGGTAGCAATACAAAAAATATGTGGCTATTTGGAGACAGTAATTTTAAATGATTATTTTGTGTATGTATATAATGTTGTATTATATGTTAGCATCAAGGGATTTAAGTTAAATAGATTTATATAAATTATTTTCATTTAAATTTCCTTGAAGATAAGGTTTATTTTCATTTTTCACGTAAAAAAAACTACCAGCTATATATATATATATATATATTTTTTTTTTTCCCCCCATCCCCAAGGGAGTCAGCTGTGATGCCAAAGTCAGTACTTTGAATTCCAGGCCTGATTTGCTCATTAGGTAATGATCCCTCTCACTGAGCGCTTCACCCAGAATGGTGCTTTGTGAAACAGAGGAGCTTTCTGAGAGGTGGTAATGCACTGAGCTGTGCCCATGGCCTTTGTCTCCAGTGAGAAAATAGTCTTCCCTAAGCCCTATTATGATGTTCCAGCTATAAACAACAGTGTTTAGTACATAGATGGTCTAAATAATATTTATTAAATAAATGAATGGAAGTACTCCACAGTTCTTCTAAATGTCTGGACTCATTCATGTTTGCATTTAAAAAATAAATGTCTATTTTGGACATTGGTTTTAAAACATCTTGGTATTAAGACTTACATTTATTCTTTTGTAACACTTTACATGTGACCACATACCCACAGATTGAGGCTATTTTATCTGATACTTTTCACTACTGATTTTGTTTCACCTGAATATTTCATTTGAGTCTCTAAAACTACATTATGAAATACCTTAATTATTTAAATTAGGAAAAGATTAATTATCTCTAGTGTACAAACTCAAATTAATTTCATTATAAACTTGAGGTTTAAATTGATTAATCTTGGGGTGTATAAGGAACCAATTTTTTTTTTTCATTGTTAAGGAGAAGGGCATATTTGATTTGATAGATCTCTCACCAGTTATACTAATAGGAGCAAGAAATTTGAAGGAAAACTTTGGGTGGATTTTATAAACCAGCCAGAAACCTGTGTGTCTGGGGCTTCTGGGGGAACAATCTGTGAGTCATTTTAAAAAACAAACACACTCATAATCACAGTGCATGTTGTTACCATGGTAATTAGGCCTGTGGAGTTGGCTAGCTTATGTTCCTACAAAGAGAAGAGGGGGAGAGAAACTGAGAATTCAGAGCTTTGACTGTCAGCTTCGATTCGCCTGTTGCAGGAAAGAGTGTAGGGGTTTCTTGAGAACACATTGGCACAGTCATCCTGAGAGGGAAGTGAAGAAACTCTGGCATCCTGCCTTTGTTACTGAGCACGAGTTAGCCAGATCAGTGTTGGATATTACGATTTGCAGGGGAGAGAAGGACCATTTGGCATTCTCTTGGGAGGAAAGGGAAAAATAGTTTCTTTATCTGATATATATAATCACATATAAGTTTCTCAATCAACCTGGTGGAATGTCAGGTGTGCCTGTGCTCTAGGCTTTAATGATCCTCTATAAGGTGCCAAATGCCACTGGCATAAATTAATCACAGATTCGAATGATCCTTGATTCTCGGTGTATTATTCTAATATGGTTAGAGACTGGTTTTAATGAGTCTGTTGTTTTGGATCTGATTCCCAAGTAGACCAGGTAATCTTTTATCTGTTTTATGGACTACATATGACTCCTTTATCTCGGACAGTCATGTCATCATACAGGCCCATGGGTCACAAGGGAAATCAGGGAGGTTATGTGAGCTCTGCCATATCTGTCACCATTTCAGGGGAAAATAAAATCAGAGCATACACCTAATTGATGGACAGCATTATGATTCTATGTAAAGGACAAACATCACCCTTAAATTAAAGGTACGAGTGCACATACAAAGTTGTTTTTAAGACTGTTTTTAAATTCACTGTAAGAAGTCTGGGTATTGATAATCATAATATATTTACTTTGGTTTTATTTTTTAGAGTTTTCCTCAAACACTTTTAAAGCAGATTTTTTTTAGAGTTGAAACAACTTTTTCTTATTAAAACTATTCTTCAAAAGGTTTGAAATAAAGAGAAATGAGGTGTGATTAAAGGGTCATATAAACTCAGAGAGTTTATTTGGGTGTGATTTGTGTCCTGGCATATATGCCTGGCAATAACTACTTCTGAACTATAGATTTCACTTTTCCTTTCTTATGTGGAAATAAGGCACATGTTGCCCAGACTTCATTCTGTTTAATTTTCTTACCAGTAGTAAACAAAGCTTACCTCAAAAACTTTTTTCTGATCATCAAAGTAATTCATGCTGATTATTGAAAATTTGGAAAATACTGAAAATTATGAAGAAAAAATAAGAATGACCCTATCCATTAATTAAGTTGTTGGTTGAACTGCATGTAACAGAGACCTGATTTCACCATGGCTAGCAGAAGTTAGATGTTACTCCTCTTTAACATAACAACACAGAGGTGGGTGGCCCAGGACTGGTAAGGTAGCTCTACTCCACAAGATCATGCAGGAACCCAGGCTCCTTGTTCCATCATTTCCAGCATGTTTGTCTCACTTTCATGGTCTAAGGTGGCTTGCCATTAAGGACTCCACTGTAATCAGCAGGGAGGGAGAAAGCTAGAAGGGGCAGGCATGACCCAGAAGTTACACATACCACTTTTGCTCACATCCCATTGATTGAATTTCGGCATACCTAGCAGCAAGGAAAGCCAGGAGAAGTAGCTATTTTTGACATGTACGTGCTTAGCTTAGAATTCTGTTAGAAGCATGGCAGAAGAAGACATCTGATATTTGGGTATATATAGCAATTTCTGCCATTTCCATTATTTTATAAAACAGAGGTAATATACTATTTGCGTTTTGATATATTTTCTTCCAGTCTTTTTCTAGAAAAATATGTATCAGAAAGATATTATGTATTTTATTTTATTTTATTTATTTATTTATTTATTTTTTTTTTGTCTTTTTTCCGTGTCCGGCAACGGATCGCAACCCCTTTTTCTAGAAAAATATGTATCAGAAAGATATTATGTATAATGTATACTAGAACATATGTGTGTACACAATATATTATATATAATATTATATATGTGTGTATATAATATATAAAATATTTTAAATATTAACATATATGTATGATATGTTAGAAAAATATATAAAAATATTATAGAATATATGTCAGAAAAATATCTTGTATATATAAATATGTATTAGGAAATTAGTGTATGTCACACTATATATAACATTTTTCTTTTCACTTTGTATCTTATGCATTTTCCTCATCATTTAAATGTTTTGTATTCATTATTTTAAAGTTCTATCATGTGTACTTTCTGTTTTACTTAATAGGTTGTATTATTGATATTTAGGCTATTTTTAATACCTTGATAGTAATTCTTCATTTACATTTTGGACTGTTTTTTGGTTAAAGTCAAAGGGTGGCTACAAGAGAACAATGATTGAGAACATATTTGAGTCTCTTGATAAACAGCACCAAAGTGCTTTCCAGAGAGGTTGTGCAAATTTCCGTTTTTTGGTTAAAGTCAAAGGGTGGCTACAAGAGAACAATGATTGAGAGCATATTTGAGTCTCTTGATAAACAGCACCAAAGTGCTTTCCAGAGAGGTTGTGCAAATTTCCACTATCAACAATAATGTATGAGCGTGCTAGACATGGAGCACCCTTGAGCAGGCTTATTTTGCAAGTCCCACTTAGTCATTGGTATCCCTAGGGTTCATTCTCTGAAAATAGATTGTTTTTTGCCCTTGGCTTGTTTTTTCTTTTTTCCCTTTGCGGTCATTAATCATGAGATAATGGTTTTCTAATAACTTTGACTCATTTAAAAACATATGACCCCTTATGGTAGTCTGGGAATTTAATTGGTTGGGTCGAGATTGCAGCACACACACCAGCTTAAGCAACGTGAGATCTCTAGAGACACTGATGTTCATTTGGTCCTAGGATCCAAAGTGAAATTGATTTCCACCCTCTATAATAATACTCTAGATGTGAGGTACTTCTTTGTTCTGAAAAACAACAAAATAGGAATGGTAAAACTCTCCCTGAGGCTTTGGCAGCTCCCTTTGAGCTGGGTGCTTTATAGCTTTTGAGGACTAAAGAAGCTCCTCTACATAGGAGTTTTCTCAGATATGAACCACACTGGGCACTAGGCAAAATTAGGCCAACTTCTGGCCAACATTACAGAAGTCATTAATGGCTAAGGTTATAGATGTCTTTCTACTTCTAAACAGCTAGTGGGAGCGTTGGATGCTACAGATACTTTGACAGCCACTAACTTGTCCCTATCTACCCTCTAAAAGGGCCAGATACACACGAACAATATGGCTCCAACTCTGTCCCTAACACCTGGAGCAAGAGTGTGTTCTGTCTCTGCCGCTTTGGTCCTGTTAGGAGCAAATCAGGTTAGGTCAGGAGCAAAGTTTGTTCTCATTCATCCTGCTGGTACACAGCCTCTGTCACTAAGAACTCTGCTTCCCCTAGGTTACCAAGTGGACTTTGTGATTTCACATTTTCTTGCAGATGAAGGAATTTCATGAAGAAAGGGACTATTATTTCACAAGTCTGTTTCTTAAAAGACAAAAAGTCATAAAGTGTTTGTTTCTAGGCTCTGAAGTATAAACCTGTAAGACTTCCTGCCCTTAAAACTATACTGCCATTACCACCAACCCTAGTTACAGAAGCATTTATTCTACTCACTCAGCTCTTATGTATCATGTTATTTCTCTTTTTTAAAAAACAAAATTTCATTTTCCTCTATGCTTTCTCAACAGCCGGATCTGCCAGTGAGCCTCAGGCTTTGGGAACTCGAGAGGTAAGAATTCAAAAATATTTTCTTCTAGAATCCTCTTGAATCTAACCAAATCTTCAAGAGGGGAAAAAAAATGGTCCTATAGATGAAAGCATTTAAGCATGTGATGTTTTATTGAAAGGAAATATCCAGAAAGTCTTTATCAATATTAACATGACTTCAGGATTTAAAGAAAAAACGGCTCTCTTTAATAATAATTAAGATCAAATTTTCACACAGATTTTCCCATTTTCTTCTAAAAATCTGAGTTGAAGAGCTTTTGAGGTTGCTATCTTAACAAAATGTATCCCTATAGCACCAAATATGATTAATGGGTTGCAGATATTGAGGACATATTCTGTGCAAGACAGAATCTCAAAGTCGACTAGATTGGAGATGGGTAAACCCTGTTCTTAGTAGTTTGGCCGTGGAGATTGTAAGGGCTTTTCCAGAAGCAACAACAACAATCTCATGCTGTTGGGGATTCTTCTTGATGAAGCTCACTTAGCCTCTGAAACTAGCTAAAGCCATATGAGTCTCGTTGTAGACTAGAACGTTCACCATAATCCTGAGACAGGTGATAATGTGGTTGCCTGCTCCAACCAAGATGTAGTTTCCAGAAGCAACAACAACAATCTCATGCTGTTGGGGATTCTTCTTGATGAAGCTCACTTAGCCTCTGAAACTAGCTAAACCCATATGAGTCTCGTTGTAGACTAGAAGGTTCACCATAATCCTGAGACAGGTGATAATGTGGTTGCCTGCTCCAACCAAGATGTAGTTTCCTCTAGTCAATGAATTTGGTTTTTCCCAGTTTTTAAATTTAACTTCTTTATGATGGCTAGTATCGTTTCATTTGAACCCTCTCTCATTTCTCCTCTTTCCCCATTGGATTATATGGCAGCTTGAATTTGATTGTTGGATTTTTAACTGTTTATGTCATTGTTTAGTTGCTATAGCAAAATGCTAATAAAAAATAAAACCTACTTATAACTTGACTTAGTTTATTGAAGCAAGTCATTCATCCACTTATTCATTCCACAAATATTTATTTAGCATTTACTAGGTATCAGACCTTCCTTAGGATAAGAGGGTCAATTTTCTTCTGCTCACTCACGTTTATGAGGACCTCAAATTTAGACTTTTGAGATCTCCAGATGAGGTTATCTGTCAGAGATACACTGACAGAATGAAAAGACGACACTCAGCATACAACTTTAATTGTTAAATGTAAATATTTAGAATATGTCACAATTTTTGAAACATGTTTTTTTGACATTTCTTCACTTTTTAATATACTAGGAATAGAAAAACACAAAACAAAATAAAACTTCTCTCAAGCCTCTAACGTAACTTCCTGTTTTATCATAAATGTCCGTCCAGTGATCCACCTCCATTTCAAGAAGATAGGCTCTGAGAGAGCAGGAATAATGTCTAACTTGCTACCCATTTTGCCTCCAGCATCTAGCAAGGTGTCTGGCATTAATACATTTAAAAAAAACCTGTTGAATGAATAAACAAAAGAATGAATGTTAGGATGTAAAGATGAAAAAAACACAGCCTTGCCCCAGAGTTGCTCAGTCTCATGGAGGAGAAAACCCTGTAAAGAAGGAAATCCCTATGGTCAGGGCTGGTAAGGCACGAGCAGTGTGTTCTGGATGTTGGAGGAGAGGACTAACTTGGTGAGGAGTTTGGTGAGAAGCTTGATGGGCAAAGGGGCATTAGAGCTGTGACATGAAGGGCCATCAGTCAGAGACACAGGGAAAAGGTATTCTGGGAATTAGGAAATGCGTGTTAAAGTACACGGAGGCCCCCAAGGGTCCGGTATTCTGAAAACCTTTAGAAATGCAAAGCAGCCAGGGTGTGATCAGAAAGTAGCAGACTGAAGAGATGCGGCTTGAGAAGCAGGCCAATGAAGCTTGGGAGAGACCCTAACTGCCTGCTCAAGAGTTTGGATTCTGTCCGCTGGGTGGAGAGGCAGAAAAGGGTGTATAATCAGATTTTTTTTTTTTTTTAAAAAAGGATAATACCTTAGGCAGCAGGATGAAAGATAAAGAAATGGAGAAAGACTAATGGAAGGGACACCAATGGAGGTCTTGGGTCTGGAAATGATGGGCTGGATTTGGGAGAGCTCACGGAATTGCTGATTAAAGGTGAGAAGGAGAGAAAGAGATGTAGAATAACCCCCAGATTTCTCTTTTGGAAGGCTAGATGGGTGGGGATAACTGGGTTACAGGTACAGAGAAGAACTGGTTCACATCTGTGGAGTGGCCACCTCCACGTGGCATGTCCAGTAGGGAGCTCACTACTGGGCACAGCCGTGGCTCTCAGGCCTGGCTGCAAGTCAGAATGTCCAGGGAAGAGTTTCAAAACACTGACACAAAGACTCTTAAACTAGACTGTTTGAATCGGAATCTCTGGGGGATGTTCCTTAGCATCGGTAGTTTCAAAAAGCTCCCCAGGTGATTTTAACGTGCAGCCAGCATTGAGAATTTCTGGTCTAGAGCTTATTAGAAGAAAGCCCTTTCTGTGTGTTTGCTTTTGGGACCATATGTAGCTTTTGCTATTCTATAACCAGCTTCTTTTGGGTTTAAATACCTAACATCTTTCAGGTAAGGACTGAGACATCCCTACATTCTACCAAATATCACTAAAAATGAGGACTGTTTTATAAGTATCTGATGTTTTTTGTCTGATGTTTGTGTTGATTTCTTTTAAGCTAATACATGTACTTAAAATTTTTAAATTAATCTAAGCAGAGTTTCTCAATGGGGGTTGTTGGCACATTGAATGGGACAATTCTTCATTGTGATTTTTGGTATCCCTCTCCTTGGTTCACAAAAGGCTAGTGGCACCTTCAAGTCATTGTGACATCCAGAGCGCCCTAGGGAGACACTGAGAACTACTGCATCTTAGCACACAACGTTCAAGAGATTATTTGGCACTTCCCACTGTCACCTAAAAGTGTTTTTCCTTCATGCAAAATTATTGGTTTCAGTTATACTCGGTGGTTCCTTCCTTATGTAAGCAGTCTCTGTGCTAACAAACTAAAGAAAGAAACTAAACCAAGTAGGCAAGTAAAAGGAAGTATTGTTCTGTACTGTCAGAGGGATTTTGAGGTTATTTGGCCTTGTATTAAGTATTTTTTTAAGTCTATACAGAGAAGCAAATTAAACACCAAGTAAGAAGTGATCAAATATTGAAGTTTGAAGCAAAATACTGTTAAGACATCATGCAAATTGCACAGCAGCAGAGATGAAGGATGTATTAGTTTCCTATTGCTGCTGTAACAAATTATTACAAATAGTGGTTTAAACAGTACAAACTTATTATCTTACAGTTCTGTAGGGATCTAACTGGGATAAAAACAGAATATCAACAAGGCTGCATTCCTTTCTGGAGGTTGTAGGGGAGAATTCATTTCCTTGCCTTTTATAGCTTCTAAAGGGCTCCTTCCTCCATCCTCAAAGCCATCAACATCTTCTAATTTGAAACTCAGCCAGGAAAGGTTTTCTATTTTAAGGGCCCATGTGATAAAAATATTGGACACACCTGGATACCCTCCCTATTACAAGGTCCTTGATTTTATCACATCTGCAAAGTCCCTTTATCCATGTAAGGTTACATATTCATAGGTTGCAGGAATTAGGACATAGACATAGTTAGGGGCTATTATTCTGCCTACTACAAAGTAAAAGAAATTAATTCTTCGGGAGGGTAGATATGTTTCAGGTAGCAGAGATAGTATCTGCTAACATTTAATCATATAGGATTGAGAAGGTTTAGGGTTCCCAAGTTGATGAAGCAAGTTCTTATCTTGACTGCATTTCCCTTTTTGTAGGTCTAGATACTGAATGAAGGCTTTTGGTTTTCCTGGAGTATTTGGCATTGCATCAAATGGACAGGTTGAAGTCCAATGGCCCCTTTCTTGGCCAGACTTTCTGGTACTGTAGGTGTGCCCTCTGGAGACTGTACTGCTTTGGGCATTTCTCCAACTCTGGAGAGTTTGCTTACAGTTTTCAGGTTCCAAGATCTTTGAATAGAAGCAAAGAAATATGAAGTTTCTATTTTATGCTGTTATGTCTGCCTGCCATATTATGTGTTATTTATTAGGCTCTAAAATGTGAACATTGGAAAGAAAAATAACATCATATTTCAGAACCTCACTGTAGTGGTTTTATGAAAGCCAATTTCTAGGTGTGGTTTAATTTACTGCATACATTACGTAGGCCATTCCCACAAGGTGAGAAATTACATCTTGCCTGGTGAATGAAATGGATCACTGCATTATTTTTTGAAAACTGTCTTCAGAGACAGAACCTCACTGTAGTGGTTTTATGAAAGCCAATTTCTAGGTGTGGTTTAATTTACTGCATACATTACGTAGGCCATTCCCACAAGGTGAGAAACTACATCTTGCCTGGTGAATGAAATGGATCACTGCATTATTTTTTGAAAACTGTCTTCAGAGAGGAATGTGGCTGGAAATTTTGGGTGGAGGTTTTAAATTTTTCAGCTATTTTTGTGGCAAGTCCCCTTTTTATCCACTTCTAGACACTTCAGTAATGCAGATCTGAAGTTCAAACCTAGGGCAACACACTTTCCTGATTCGCCCAAGACTGAAGGATTTCGTGGGACACAGCACTTTCAGTATTAAAACTGGGAGAATCCTTGACAAATCAGGAGAGTTGGTCACCCCAGATGTCTAACAAATGGCTTCAATAGAAAGTAGCTGTCATGTTGATGAACTTAAGATGTAGATTTCGAATGAAGACAGTAATGAAGACAACCCCTAGGGTTTGAAGTGAAAATGGGGATGAATCCAACTCTTTTGGTAAATCTCTATCCATACTGGTATATACATGTTTGTCCAAACCAACTTAGAAAAAAGAAAGAAAGAAAAAGAAAAAGAAAAGCCTAAGATTTAGAGCTAAGAAGAACTAGCAACATTTATGAAATCACAAGACACGGGCTGCATTTTCAGTTCTCCAGTGCTACCAACATGCTCCTGCATGTTGCCTGTG